TCTCTCTCTCTCTCTCTCTCTCTCACTCACACACACACACACACACACACACACACACAGAGCTGCTGGAATTTGCAGAGAGTATTGCACTCTGGAAGGCTTTCCCCCTGCCCCCATGTTCACCTTTGGAGGAGTTCAAGGGTTACAGCTATGTCTGAGCACCAGCACCTTCTACAGCTGCTTCCCCCCTTTCTTTTGGGGCATCCCCAGTCATTAAGCTAAAGCCAATTAAGTGCTTTCACTGTACCCGTTATCTGAGTTCATAAATCATGTGTTAAAAAACAAGCTTGAAGCATATCTAATCTGTGCCTTGAAATGGGGGAGGGTGGAATAAAGGAAACTGGACTTGGCTCCTGTTTCTGCTTTAACCCAAGGACAATTCCAAAGGCTCTAATTTTTTTTAAGCCATTCATTAATTAAAATAGAACAGGGATGGGGGGAGATCTGTGCTCTCCTGCCTCTGTTCTTAGCTGTGCATCCATCAAGCTTAATAGTGGCCCCTGCCTGTATGCTGGTGTATGTATGTTGAACTCATCCATATAAAGCTGGATCACAATTGCCTCCAGATAATTTATTATGAGCTGGGGTGTTGTATGCCTTCCCTGTAAGGAGCTAAAGGCAGTTTATATAGGGACCATTTCTCATTTTTTCCTCCTAACAACCATGCAGTGAGGCAGGATAGGCTGAGAAATTTTTTGGCAGATGCCTGGCCAAAAGTCACCCTGATAGGTACATGGCCAACTGGGACTTGAATCTGGCTTCCCTGGTTCTTGCCTAATTGCTGTATTTTCATACTGGACAAATGTGGAACAGGCCTTGGGGGTTTCACAACCCTACTATCTTCTCCCTGCCAATGTGTGAAATTTATTTCCTGAATGCCTCTTTGGTGTATAATAAACAAAAGTCTATTTCCTTTCATTAACTTTTGTAGCCTGATTTTCTAAAGAGCTTGACTTAAGTGTAACAATACGGCAATGCGTGCACTCATTGGTGTAGATTTGTTCCCAGACAGAGTCAAATAAGGGGTAATGCAAACTAAAAGGAGCCCTAGTTCTGAAGAATCAGGCCTGCTTTTCTTCGCAAATCAGTGTTAGTAAAATTTAATGTCTGCTTTACATGGATGATATACAGGATGATCAACAGGCAACATTTTAAGAAGGACTGAATCTCATGAGTTTTTTTGTCACCTGCAGGAAGACATTTCATGAGCAGCCATTTTCTCCATTTTCCTTTGCAGTTGTTAACTAAGACCTGTCATCAATCTTGTCCTTGAAACAGGAAAAGTTGGGTGGTTTCTGCTTCAGAATTTGAAAAGGGCAGGATTTGGAGCTTCCCGAATCCCATGGATGTTTAATCCATTTCAAATTTGTTTAACTGGCAGGAATTCTACACAGTCCTCAGACAGTACTGTCTCATGCTATTGTTCTACATTGAACAGGATATTAAGGGAGACTTGTAAGAAGAAGATGCGGCATCTCAACCTATTTGGTAGAGCAAGTTTGACAAAGAGCAAAGGTTTGGGAGTACCAGTATGACATTCCTGGATATATTTGTTTTCAGTTCTCTAATCCTCTGCTAATGGTAATGCTGACTGGTAAGGCTAGGAGTTGTAATTGGATTAATATGGAAGTGCCAAGTTGGGGAAGATCTAAAGTTTGATCTGTACATTTAAGAAATGGCAAGGTTTTAAAATTTTGTTTCACTTACAAGAGAAGGGAAAGGTCTCATGGAATATTCCAGTCAAGATATGTTGGACCAGAACATTAAAATGCTAGTGAAACTGACTTGATTGGGGTGGGCAACTTGTAAAGGCGTGAAGGGCACAACTCAACCTAACAACCTGTTGAAGGGCTTTAGGGAACTTTCTGGTAATGTGATGACATTGCACTGAAAAGAGTTCAGATTATTTTTTATGGCCTTGGGGATAGGTAGGAATAGTAGCAGGAAAACGGCTCTCATTTCTGCCCTTAATCGCCTCCATACTCCCAAAAATGGTCTAAAGTATATTACCAAAATTTATCCATTTTGCTGCTGAAATTTGGCAGTGTGATTTTGGTGTTTTTTTAAAATTAGAGCTGGGGGTGTGATTAAGGGTGGGGAAGGGAATATTTTGCCTTCCAGAGGCCGCACACTCCCATTCCTACTCTTTTCAGGGGGAAAAAAAGAGGAAAATGTCCTGATGATTTTGCTGCCAAATTTCTTATAGTATGTGATCTTCAGGGGGTTTTGTGTGGGAGGTAGTGGAAATGGTAGTGGTTGGCTTGCCATTTCTGTCCTCATTTTTAGAAAAAAAGGTGAAAATTTCACAGTGAAATTTCAGCCATATTGCCACCAAATTTCAGCAGCATGATCCTAGGGTGTTTGGAAGCTGCATCTGGCCTGTTAGTTACCCACCATGCATTTTGAAACCTTTGGCAACCTAATTCATTTCCTAGACATATGTGTATTTGTATGTATGTAAAGATCAAGAAATAAAGATAACTAGAAGCCTTTCAGTCAAAGCATTAGTTGGTTAGTTCAAGTTAAACACAAGATGCAGTCTCTATCTTGCTGCCTCTTTGCTGTCTGGGATTTGAGGTTTACAGCCCTCCGAACCAAGCCTCCCTGCTAGGCTGTGGAGCACTGTAGATTCAAAGGCAAACAGATTATTTGGGATATGTGGGAACACTCACGTAGTACCTATCATCAGTCTTTGAAAGCAATTGTATGTTATTCTGAAATACAACCACCTCCCCAGCCCCTGGTTGCACATGGTCGCAGAAGGAAATTGTGGCAAGTTTAAGCAGGTGCCCACAGGTGGTATATGTACTATATGTGCTTTGAAGCACTTGTCCCCCTTTAGATCTAAAGTGCTGCACAACCCTAATATTAACCTTATTCTCACAGACAACCTAGAAAACAGTCTTGTATGTTTGGATAGATTGTCCAATGAAGACACTCCTCAGAAAGCTATGAGCTTAACTGGAGTTTCAGGGGATTGCTTTTATGGATCTCCTTCTTTATGTGCCTAATTTTTGCCAGGCATTGTCCTTACTAGGTATATGGTAAATAACACCTAGGGCTGGTTTAGATTTAACCTAATCTAGATCATCATTTGACTCTGGAAATGAACATGAGTGCAACAGATTTGGGCTTATGTGTTCCTCCTTTCCTTCTTCCCTGGCATGATTGCAAAGAGGAATTTAGAA